AAAAAAAAAAAAAAAAAAAAAAAGAAAAGAAAAAAGAAAAAAAGAAGAGTTTCCGCTCGGTACCTCTGAAAATCCGTAGCGTTCCAACGTTTGATCTTCGAACAACATCTTTGCCATTTCCTTTTCATTTTCACGTGTGAGCATCTTAATTAAACCAAATCTACCGTGCAGTTGCTTTGCAGGTTCGATACACGCATTCCACCGTTCGTTAATCATAAGTTAATCGGACGTTGCGAGGAAAGATTACGCTCGATAGAGAGGAGATGCCTTTGGACGCGATTTATCTTAAGCGAAAAAAAAAAAAAAGATGACGCATTCGAGGACAAGGAGAGAATATGACGAAGTGGAAAATATGAGGGTGGGGGTGGGGAGGGGCGAGAGTTACAGAGAGAAAGATACATGTGTACGAAAAGACGAGTTAAAAAGTCTTAGATTAATTCGTTCGTGAAAGGAAGACCGCCTATATTCGGTCTATCTAAGTGTGGTTTTGGTTAGGAAGAACGAATGAAGCTTCCCCAAAACATACCTCTGCCACGGTGATCGGTAGGAACTCGCGTGAATCGATCCAACTCTCGCTGAACCTCCGCTGGCCTCGTACGAGTGCGAGAGAGACTGCAACTTCTCGTTGACATTGAATTAAGGAAAGAAAGAAAGAAAGAAAGAAAAGAAATAAATAAATAAATGGACACGTCGGTTCACGCGGTTCGTCGTCGGTTGCCGTGATGCTCAGTAGTGTCGAATGTTTTTGCATGGGCTGTTTAACTTTTTTATCTCACTATTTGTAGTTTAACACACGGCCGCTTGGTCTTGGCGAGGTTGCAAGACTCGAGGTAAGTTCTCGGGACGATCGGTTCTCGAGCCGAGCGAGGAAAGTTCTTCTTTCTTGACGCGGGCTTTTTCGTTCGCGGCCAAACACCAGGGCTCTTAGGGCCCTGGTTATTCGTCGTCACATACGTACATATATATAATATATATATATATAATACATATATATAATATATATAATATATACGCTTTTTTTTTTCCCGACCTCGACACTATGCATCCTCGATGTGTTTGTACAGACAATCGTGCTTCAGCACTGTATAGCTGTCGACTCTCTGGTGCAAGGAATGTCAGGAAACAATACATATATATATATATATATATATATGTATAATCGTTTCTACATAGCGTTGTTGTTATTATTGGCAAGGCATGCTGACAAATGGCGTGGCTTATCTGGCGTTGTAACACGTTTTTTTTTTCGAGAGAACGAGCATACATAGTTAGAAGATGATTTTTCAAATGCGTCCGTAATACCATGAGATTCGAACGATGAACGACGCTTGTTGGAAAAAAAAAAAATATGCATCCCTCAGACCATAGAAGAAAAAAAAAAAATAGAAAAGAAAAGAAGAGAAATTGACGGTTAATTTTCGTTTTTCTTTTTTCTTTCTTTTTTAATGAAATTCTGCCTGGTGTCATTAGGAGAAGCGCAGGTAGTTTAGTTCTGGTAGAGTTTTTCTTTTTTTTTTTCGTTTTGTTTTTCGTTTGAATGCATGTTGTTTGAGTAATGTTTGTCAGACAGTGAACGGGCGTGTAGCGCCCTTTTTTTCACTCGTCGGGGAGCGAGACATTTTCGAGCTGGTTCTCAATTTTCGACATAGCGCCTGTGTCCTCTTTCTTTTTTTTTTTTTTTTTCACGCGGCGAAAACGNATCCTGCTAGCCAAAAAAAAAAAAAAAAAAAGAATCTCGTCAAAACAATCGTTGTTACCGATTTCATGATCAGCATCAACTTTAGGACGAGACTTTCCTCGAGAGGACATCGATGTTAAATGATCCGTGTTTAAAGTATTATTTTTTTTTTTCTCTTTTTTTTCTCTCCTCTTTTTTCGTTTCTTTCCTTTAATTCGCGGCCAGAACGTGTGGAATACGCTAGAAAGGAATATTCTTAACAGGTGGACGACAAAGAACTGTCCGGAGCGGAAGAGGAGAAAGAAGTGGAGAAAGCTCTGTTGAAGCCGCTGTTGTCCTTGGAGGACCTCGTCAGGTTTTCCGCCCTGGAAGGAAGCGGCGGTGATTCCCTAAGAACGTTGCTGCAGCGAGGACACGAGACGGGAGCCGAGTGGCCAGGACTCGAACACGCCAACATCGGTCCGTATATTCAAAAGATGCTTGCAGCCGCGGCGCCATTTAAAGGTAAGAGACGCGTTTACTTTTTCGCTCCTCTTCCTGTGAAAGAAAAGAAAAAGGGATTAAAGCATTAAAGAAGAGTGTAGATTGTCGATGCGTCTCGACAAAGAACGAACGTGGTCAAATGTATTCGGGCAATGGCGTTTTGTTGTGTAATTTCAATATGCGGTACGGCAGATGTTCGACTGAATAATTATAGTATAGAAGAACGGGACGGTAAATATACCGTTGTAGTAAAATTTCTAAATTATCGTATCAGACATATATTTTTCATATTAAAACAGAATTAAATGTGACAAAAATTGTATTGTGTTCGGACAGTATTAACACAACACTGTGTCTTTAAAAAGAGCAAATTGCTTAAAGTTTTTACAGGGTAAACACAATTAAATGATTAATATTTCGTACGATCGATATGTCTGTTCGTATCCATTTGAATCGATGACGAATCCTTCTTGGCATAAAATCCAAAAGTTTTTGAATTGTTGTTGCGAGATTAATACTCTGTAAGATTTCAAGCAGTTCGTCATTAGTTTTCAATTTCTCGGCGTTTAAGTTTCGCTTTAGATGACTCCAGTGGTGTTCGATTTCATTAAGGTCCGCACTTTGAGGTGGCCACATCATTACAGAAATTTCCTTTCGCGCGAACCAATTTTTTTTACAAAATTCAAAGTGTGCTTTGGTTCGTTATCTTGTTGAAACGTTCAATTATCTGGCATTCTTTTCGTATGGTAACATTTGCGTCTCTAGGATGTGTGCATAATCAAACCTGATAACAAACCAATTCATCGCTGAAACCTATTTTTGCCCAATCAGATGCGCTCCAGTGTAAATGATCTCGGGCAAATTGTAGTCGGGCTATCCTGTTTTTTTTTTTTTTTTTTTTTTTAGATACCAATGGTTTCTTAACGCCATGTCGTCCATGAAGGTTAAATGACTCTAAACGACGGCTCACTATCTTGTACAGTTTTCCTCGGATCTGCAACTAATAAACGAATCTCCCTGTCTTCTCTGATTGTAGTTTTCTTAGGTCGACCACTTTTTGACACATTTTCTAAATGTCCTCGTCGAAGAAATTGTTTCTTTTTTTTTTTTTTTAATTGAAGAAATAGTATACCTCGAGAGACTTTGGATATCGATTCCTCACTTGTTAAACCATTAATGATTTTTTTCTTTCAAAACTTTTGGTAAACCATGCTGAAATAAATTTAAAAAGGAATGTAAGATTTCGAAGAATATCATGCTTCAGGCTGTAATTTACGTTTGTAAATTAATTGTCCAAGCTGATTTGAATAAAACTTGCTTTATATGTAGCAGAGAGCAAATACCTAACTGTAACTTACACGCGAGTTAACGTTAGACTAATAGCAAAGAAATCACCGAGTGGCACTCTCCTATCAACAGTATAGCAACACAGGGAAACAAAAACATTTTTGTACTGTATGTGCAACATTTTCGTAACGCGCCAATTGATTTCAAGCATCCGCCATAGATATACGTGAAAAGTAAAGTTTGAAGTGAATTGCCATTTGATGGTTACTTGGCGCAAGTTTTGTCGAAAAGACTTAAAGAATTAAAGCGTGAAAATGAGAATCGTCGCGGCGTAAATAGATAGGTGAACGATACGTAGGAACGTTGCACGGAAACAAAGGATTTGGGTTATTTCCGACAGACGTTGGGACGTTTTCATTCGCTGACCAGCCTATAGTAAGAGCCCGAGACGAAAGTCGAAAAGTGTATTACGAGCGTGGTAGGTCTTCGGAAATCGATAGAAGCCAGGTGGTGGTCGACGGGTCGCCGACACTTTTTCCACTTTCTGAATGGAACTTCATTTAAATGGCTTAAACAGTTTCTCTCCGGCAGCTAATCCGAGATTACGACAAATGTCCGCAGGCGCGAAGAACCAACGAAATCGTATTTCCTTAACAAGCCAGACACGCCTGTAGATTCCTCCACCATATTCCCTCCCGAGATCGACGAAGAATTGAAATACATATATATATAAATATATATATATTCCGCCGTGTGGTTGCGCTTGCAGGCATGGAGACGCAAGACTATCGCATTCCAGAGGTGATGAGAAGGCTGATGAGCGAGGACAAGAGGCTAAACAAAAGCGTAAACGGGGACCAGTCGCAGCCGTCGCATCAGCAGCAGCTCCATCATCATCAAACGCACTCGACTCATCCGCAAGGCCAGGCACAGTCGCAGACGCAACAGCAGCAACAGCAGCAGCAGCAGCAACGTGGCCCAATAACGAACGACGATTTCAATCCGAATATCGAAGAGGAGGCGAGCGACAGTGCTCAGGGCAGAGCGATTCTCAAAATTCCGTCCTACAAGCCGGCGAGCACGCCCGGTTGTTCGAGCAAAAACGGCGAGCCAACGTCGGCCGCGTTCGCGCAGGGATTCGCAGCGGCGACCGCGGCCTCGAGTCCGGGACTTCTGGAACGGGCGAGCCCCGCGTTCTCCGGCACCAGTAGCCCGACCAACTCCCTGGTAGGGAAAACCGTGGCGGTGAACTTCCGCGACGTGATCGCGAAAAGCATCAGCGTGAAATTCCAAGAGGGGCAGACGGTGGCCACCGCTGCCGGGATGCCCGGATGCCAGCCGAGCGGGGTGGTGCAGTCGCAGCAGACGATAATGGCGGACCCGAGCCCGTTCAAACGAGGTAGATACACGCCGCCTCAACCTGCGACGCAACAAGCTCAGACGCAGGCGAAACCGCAGACTCAGGAGGCGAACAAACCGAAACCAGCTACCGGTGGCAAAGGAACCAGACCGAAACGCGGCAAGTACAGGAACTACGACAGGGACAGTCTGGTCGAGGCTGTGCGCGCTGTCCAGCGGGGCGAAATGAGCGTGCATCGCGCGGGCAGCTACTACGGAGTGCCACACTCCACTCTCGAGTACAAAGTTAAAGAGCGGCACCTGATGAGGCCAAGGAAGAGGTACGTGTCCATCCGATATACATATATATATATATACTTCAAACTCTACTGAAATGCGATTTCGTGTTGGATTTAACCTCTTATTATTTATTATACCATTATTATTATACTATAAATATATTCAAGTATAACCCAAAACAAATGATAAATTTATAAACTTCTCACTATCCGGTACACTATACTCGTACCGACGAGTTTAAATAGAAAGCGACGAATTATTGTATACGGTATTTGGTCACTCGTTACGGTCCGCAATCAGTTGCCAGCGCTGGAATCACGTGCAACGCACGAAAATTGCAATATCTTCTCAGTTTTAAGTATACTCAAGTATAACCCAGGCAAAACAAATGATAAATTTATTACTTCTCAATAATTTCTATCCAGTGGTATCGTACCGACGAGTTCAAAAGTAAAAGAAAGCGACGAATTGTTCTATACGGGTTCGGTCACTCGTTATGGTC